AGTTGGTTGAGTTGTAGTTGAGTTATAGTTGAGTTATAGTTGAGTTATAGTAGCTTGAGTTATAGTTGAGTTATAGTTGAGTTATAGTTGAGTTATGTTTATAGTTGAGTTATAGTAGCTTGAGTTATAGTTGAGTTATAGTTGATTGAGTTATAGTTGAGTTATAGTTGAGTTATAGTTGAGTTATAGTTGAGTTATTGTTAGTTGAGTTATGGCTGCCACACTAGCTGCGCCCTGCAGTTATGTGTCCCTGTGCTCGTGTGCGCCTCCTTCCAGCCAGCTCTCGTGCCCGGGATGCACTCCAGCAGCACTGCCGCACGAATGGCAAGCCAGAATGTATTCTGGCCCCGGCTTCTCTCTTCCCTATACTGGCCCATGGATGAGAGGCCCGGCTGGCCCGGATGTGCGGTCCCAGTATCTGGACCCAGCGCCCATCCAGAATCTGCCTGGGGCTCCAACTGTAAAGCTCCTGGGCCTCAGCGTCAACTTTCGGAAGCGGGCCAGGGCCTCAGCCTGTCCACCGCCTACTGGTCATTTGCAGGCGCTGGCTTGCTGCAACCACCTCATGGGCGCCCCCAGGCCGAAATCAAGAAACCGGCCCGCCTTCACTTAGGGCGGGCTCAGGGGGCCCATTGCCGAGGGCTCAGATCCTCGCACTCCCTCCTCCAGAGCTTCGAGAGAAAGACTTCCATCTCTTCTCTGTTTCCCCTTGAGTTTCCTCTCGTAGCTGAAGACGACATGTGGTGCTGTCTTTATCAGCTCGTCCCTTGTAAGCCACCGATCTCCTTTGGGATCCGTGTGATGCCTGATCTGACTCTGAACTGCATCTGTGGTTTAGGAGGTCCTCCTATACCCCGAGGCTTCACTACAGGCAGCCCCGTGTGATCCACAATGGTGTCAAATGTCGATGTGTCCAGCCATGGTTGGGGCCAGCATAGGTCTCTTTGAAGGAAACTGATCAGTCTCAGAGAAAGGCAGAAGTTTGGATGCATGGAAGACAGCATAAGTGCGTAGATCTGCATGCGTATAGCCTATGAAGGACCATCCGGATCATCCCTAACGCGCGTGCGCGCGCGCG